CACGATTTCCCATGCTGACTATCCCTAATCAGTTCTTGTCTCTCCAAATGAATTTAATTCATATCCCGCAGAATTGTTAACAGTGAACTTATCTTTTCATGAGAAGAGATGCAGATACACATTTCAGTCATCTGAATTACATATCCATTGTGTTTTTTAAAAATATTTGGTCTGCTATTTGTCTTAAAATAATTAACTTTTGTCTTTGTGTATAGGAAGATTTTAGTTTGTGTTTTTGAAATTAATTCGTGTACCAGCTGGATTGTCTTGCTAATTGCTTGGATTTAATTGTTTTGGTAAACTCGAAAGAAGATACAGAGACAGAAGAGATTCGATCCTACCTGTTAATTGATCACGTTTTTGATGATTTGAAAAAAAGTTATGCTTACAGAAGTGAATAAGGATAGAGGCTGAACTGAGTTTGGAAGGTATTCTAAAGCTGATCTCAGACTAAGGAAGAAGTTCTTGGCAAATTTGAATCAATTGGTGACTGTAAAATTGCAAACAACACAAGCTACACAGTATATGAGATTATATTAGATATTTGCTAACATAAATGCATAAATAGCTACAGAAACATCTTTTTATAACAGTTCCTTTCCAGATACTTCCTTCTCATCTTCCCCTATAAAAAGTGCTGATTGGTCATCCAGTGATCTCACTTTAGTCCTAACTAAAATTGCAAGTTTATGTTTCATATTTTTTGACATCAGCTGGCTATTATACACATTCTGTTATACTCTTTTATCTGTTCAAAGCATTGTTTCTTGTGTGATTAACATTTCAGTACAAGGTGAAAGGAAGTACATGGTATCGCAGAATGTTACAATATATGTAAGCCAATCAATTGATGAAGCGTACTTTTTTGCCTACCAGCCACTTTGTTTAATCCCACCACTCTTGCTGTACCCTCTTAGCTTTAATGTTTTTCTTTTCCCAGCAAGTATTCAATCCCTTTTTGAGTAGACTGGTATACCACAAGGATCTGTGGTGAGGCCTCAACTAGTCATTGTATTTGAGAGCTATATATCCAGGTTTTCTGATGAAACAACATTTGGTGGCATAGTAAATGGTGTAAACAGGAGCTTAAAGTACAAAGGAGACATTATTAGCTTGTGTGAGTGAACAAAAAATGTGGCTTATGGATTGTCCATTTGAAATTGTCCATTTTGGACCCAGAGAGATAAATTCAAATAGTGGAGGACCAAAGAAATTCAGGGATATGTGTACATAAATTATATTTCAAAAGGAAAAGATTATATGAACTGAATAATCAAATAGGCTAATGGAATTTTAGCTTTAATATGCAAGGGCTAAAATATAAAGTTTAGATACAGCTGTACAAAGCCCTTGTTAGGCTATGATCGGAGTATATTTCTGGGCATTATACCTTCGAAAGGAAATATTAGCATTAGATGGAATGTTCTGCAGGTTTATTGGAATGTTGTGAGTGCTCCAAGGGTTCTATTTTAAGGAAAAGTTATATAAATTAGGCTTCCATTCCCTGGTGGATAGAAAGTTAAAGGTGATTTGATTGTGTTATTTTCAGGATTTAGAAAGAAGCTGTTAATGTAGATATCGAGAAACCTTCTCTGCTGGAAGAAAAATCTAGATCATAAGGACATAACTTTTTAAAAAAATCCGGGGATTCAGGAAAGAAATTAGAAAATACTCCTTCACACAAAGGGTGTTGGAAGTATGGAATTATTTCCTTCAAAAATCAAAAGATGCTCACTCAATTAAAATTAGAATCACCAGTGAAGGTGTGCAGGTGTAATGTTTTCGTCCCCATTTGTTAATAATATATCTCAAAAACTAATGGACTGATTTCAAAAATGCTTGACACACAGATTGGACTTGACCCAGGGAAAGATTAGTTATCAGAAAAATATGGATTCAGATCTGGATCCTGGAATTTTTCTAAATGATTTGTTAACATTAGGGCTTAGGATAAATTGATATATTTCAGAATATTGTTGATTGTTTTAGAACATTGTGGATTGTCTCGGATGTAGTTTGAAACTGTCAAAATGTGAGCAGGGTTTTTAGAGCAGGTTGTTGAATATGGATTGGCCTGAAGTCGTCTCAGTGAAATGCAAGTTCTCAATGAATATACTTTCCTCAACTTTGTAGTTACTGAGTGTCAACCAGACAGGGAAAAGCCTTAAGGAAGAGCTGTATAATTGTAATGACTGAGTTAACATAGCAGAGTTGAGATATGTGCCCTCTTCACTATTTTACATTGGAGATTGGTAGATTCGTGCTAGCCAAGGATATTAAAGATAATAAAGTCAAGGCGGGCAGGTGAAAATAAGTTACATATCAACCATGATTTCATAAAATGGTAAAAAAGACTTGTGGAACTAAATTGTCTGCTCCTGTGACTATGTTTCTTTTAGCAGGAGTTATGGAATTTACTTACCTTTTTTGTTGCTGAATAATGAAACAAACTGATTATTTGATCATGTTACTTCATTATTTGAATATCCTATTGGATTATTCATTAACCTTGCAGTTATATGGGAAAGGAAAAAGACTAGCAAGGGGTAAATATTACAGTTAAGGGCAGAAAAGTTTATATTGGAGAACAGGGAAATGATAGAAAACTAACCAGTTACTTGGTGTCTATCTTCACAGAAGATGATGCAGAAAATCTCCCGGAAATATAAGATGACTAAGTGACTTATGTAACCGAAGAGCTGGATTAAATGAATATTAGTGAAGAGTAGTAATTGAAAGGTTTCCAGGATTGAGGTTTGATAAATTTCCTGACCTGATGAATTTCATGCCAGGCTTTTGAAGGAAGTAACATTAGAGATAGGGGAATGCCACAGGTATCAATGCTAGAGCCACAGTTATTTGCAATATATATCCAAGACTTGGATGAGTGAGTGAATGTATTAATGCCAAATTTGCGGTTGGCACAAAAATAGATGGGAAGGCAAGTGGTGAAGATGACGCAAGGAATCTATGGGGGATGTAGACAGGTTGAGTGAATGGGTGAAAAATTGGCAGGTGGAATATCATGTGAGAAAATGTGATGTTATGCACTTTGTCAGGAAAATTAGAAAAGCTGACAATTATTTAAATTGAGAAAGCTGTAACACAGAGGGATTTGGGGCTCCTCATACATGAATCATAAAAAGCTAACATTCAAGCAGCAGGCAAGGCAAATGGACTGTTGGCCTTTATTTTGTTTCAAAGGGGATGGAGTATAAATATAGGGAGTTCTTGCTAAAATAATTCCCACAGTAGTCAGATCACACAAAAATACTTTTTTTATTAATTCTTTGAGTGTGGATGTTGATGGCTGGGATAGCATTAATTGCTCATCCCTAGTTGCCTAGAGAAGGTGAGCTGCCTTCTTGAAGTGCTGCGATCATTTGCTGTTGGTAGACCCAATGCTGTGAGGGAGAGAGTTCCATGATTTTGACCCAGTACCACTGAACAAATGACAACTTATTTCCAAGTCAGGATGGTGAGTGGCTTGGAGGGATAAACGGTTATTAAAATAGACGGTAATGTACATTTAAGGCTATAGTCAGATCAGCTGTGATCTTATTGAATGACAGAGCAGGCTTGGGGGCCGAATAATGCCAACTCCTGCTCCTGATTCACGCTTGTACGTTCATATAATAACTGAACATTTAGAAAAGAATAGTAGAATTGTGCAGAGTCAACATGGAATTCTGAAAGTGAAATCACACTGGAGAAACATTAGTGGTTTCTTGTTAATGTTACTCGTAGCACAGAGAACAGAGAACAGAGAATCAGTGGGTTTGATGTATTGGATTTTCAAAAGGCATTTGCTCAGGTTCCACACATGAAATTGGTAAATAAAATTAGAACATTTGGGATTGGGGTGGAATAAACTGCCTGGATTGACAATTGGTTAACAGAAAGCAGAGTAGAAATAAATGGGTCATTCTCAGGATAGCAGGCTGTTACACCTGGGGTCCCACAAGGATCAGTGCTGGGGCTACAACTGTGCAAATCCATGTAAATTATTTGAATATGAGGGCCAGTTGTAATATTTCTAAGTTTGCTGATGACACCAAATTGCAAGAGAACTTAGAATCATAGAGATCTACAGCACAGAAAAGGGTCTTTCAGCCCATCACCTCAGACAAAAACAACCATCTAGTTACTTTAACCCATTTTCCAGCACTTGCCCCATAACTTTGTATGCCTTGGTATTGCAAACAGATATCTAAATACTTCTTAAATGTTATGAGGGTTTCTTCCTCTACAATCCTCATAGGCAGTGGATTCCAAATTCCCACCACCTTCAGTGTGAAAAGTTTTTCCTTACATCTCTTCTGCCCTTTACCTTAAAATCTATACTCCTAGTCATTGATTCCCCCATCAAGGGGAAAGGTTTCTTACTGTCAATTCTATCTATGCCCCTCATAATTTTATACATCTCAATCATGTCCCTCCTCACTATCCTATTCTCTAATGAATACCCCAGTTTGTCCAATCCGTATTCATAAATGAAGCTTATGACTTACACCCCAAGGAGGGTGCAAAAAGGCTTCAAAGGATTTCGGCAGCTTGTTTGAATGAACACTTTAACAGGCAACTTTTGCACGATCCTACGAAAAGGTGAAGTGGAATTACTGGATAGTTACTTAAAAGAGCCAGCACGGATAATTAGGGGCTGAATTCCTTCCCTTGCATTGTTTAGAACTTTAAGGCTTTTTGTAAAAGCTTTGCACAGTTGGAGTTGAGATTATTATAACGAGCTCAGCTTTTTTTTTTAAGCAAGGCTTATATTCATAAGGGCACGGCTCTGACACTAGGAAGCGCATTCCGACGGAGTAACGGGCCGGGTTATTATATAGGGGAAATGACCCGCCCCTCTCTGCTGATTGGATGATCATCATATCAATCGGAAGGTTCACCCCCAATTCCCTGGTTGTTATTGGTTGCCCTGGAAACCAGGTACCGCCTCTCATCGCTGATTGGATGGTCAGTCTGTCAGTCTCAGTTTAGTTCCGCCCACGGGCGGTTTCGTGACAGAGAGAAGAAGAAGGAGACGACATAGGGAGAGGGGTGGCTGGAGCCCGAGTCCAAGTGAGGAAGAGGCTGCCGCCACCGCTACCGCTATCGCCATGGGGGGCAGCGAGCCGCCACAAGGTCAGTTATTTTGCCTCTATCTATCAGCGCGGTTTTATAATTCATTCGGGGAGACCCAGGCTCCTCACCTTCCCCCCCCCCCCCCACCACCGCAGACCATAGACCTCAGGCCCTCACTCCAGACCCAGGGTCTTAAACCTCAGACCATAGTCCCTAGGACCACGCTCACCAAGCTGTAGGGTCCAAACCCCAGCCCACAGGACCATACTCCAGAACCAGGGTTCAATCCCTAAGACCTCACTCCAGACTCAGGTCCCCACGACTTCAGCCAGTAAACCCCTGCCCCTGGTCACCAGGACTACACCCTTAGACCCAGGATCTAAATCCCAGACCATGGTCTTCAGGACCTCATCCGCTAAATTCTAGGGTCCAAACCCAAGTCCTCATGACCACACTCCAGACCCAGGTTCTAAACCCCAGCTCCTAGTCCCCAGGACTTCATTTCAGACTCTGGTCCCAACCCCAGCCTCCATGGTCCTGAGGACTACACTCTGGTCCCTTGTCCTTGAGGTCACACTCCACTCTGTGGGCCTGAGGAATTGAAAGAATGATGTGAAGTGAGTCTCATTTTTCCAATGCAAATGGAAGACTTCTAATGAGTGAAAATTGTGAATATGTCACTGGTTTTGCAGTCACAACAGCATAATGGAAAACATGTTGCTGGTTTAATTTTCCTCAAAAATAAAAGTTCACATGAACGTTCTCTGCATTGGAGTAATATCTAAGTGATGTTTGAATCCTGGTGGATTAAAATCAGATGTAGGCTGTCTTGATTGCTTTCTGCTGGGTCCTTTTCATTTTAAAGAAATTCATTCTATAACTTGTTTTCACAATTGGCAGATCTCAACTGCTTAGTGATTCAAATAATTCTTTAGGTTGAAGTAATGTTTTTCTTGCAATGAGTTCTTGAAAAATATAGGAAGGTTTATCAGTATTTCAACGAGAACAGATAATGTAGGTTCCAACTAAGCACCTGGCCTGAAGTCCTTACTTGCTTTTCTCTGTTTCCCTATTTTATATTTAAATTAAAAACCCTTTCTTTCTAATTTTTGGGATGTTTGTGAAAAGTGCCTTCAATCATTGAGCCTTTAAACTTCAAGTGAAGCAAACTGAAATAATTGACCAATAGTGTTACAATGTGTCTCATCCAGCTTTTTAAAAGTTGAATATACCGTAAACCACGTGCCTTTCTACTTGCTTAGTCACAAGCTAGTGTTAATGTTGAAGAAAATATTGTTTTTCATACTGGAAAATTTAAGTGAAGGGCTGAAATATGACTATATGAAATATGGTTGGTTTCCTGAGAGTTTGCATTACTCCTCTGTGTGGTTAGGTTTCAGAAGTCACCATTCTGTTGTTTTAAAGTTAGACTTTATTAAAATGTTTCCAATTTGGGATGGTTACCCTTTATACTTTCCTTTCATCCCCCCCCCCCCCCCTCTAAATAAATATGAAATTGAGTTGATAGCATGTGTACTAATCAGCAGCACCTCTTTCTGTGAAGAATTGCTCAGCTTCACTCTGGCATCAGTGCCGTCATGAAGAGAGTTTGTATTCCTACCCAATCTCACCTCTTAGGATTTTATTGATATGTCTAATACCTGGTAAAGGTATTCTGTGTAATACGGCAATTTCATGTATTCACCTTGCGTGCTGTTAAGATTTAGATTAATTTGTTTTATCAGTTTTCTTCCTGTCCTAAAAGTGCAGTTTCATGCTGCCGTTCAGTTGCACTGGCGTCAATCTCTCTACCACACCTCATCCAAGTGACCAACCTTCAGATATCAGTCTGAGGTTTTACGATAGAGACATCGTAGCCAAGCGCAGTACTGTTTCTCCTAATGTTCACACATTTACAATTCTAGCAAATGATAACTAGATAGTGACTGGGAACAAATGTCCTGGCTGGCTTTTTCCATTTTCTAGAGCTGCACTGTTGACATGTTTGTTGCGCTCCTACTCTGCCCTGGTAAAAATTTGCTAACAATCTAAATCAAAGATCAAACACTTGCAAACGTGTAACTGGAATGACAATTGTGTTGACTGGTGGACTGTGGCTCAGTTAAGATTATTTTGTGTGATCCCTCCACGATCATAATGTTACTGAGTTTGAGAACACTTTTTGGGTAATATTCCGAACAGGGATCTAGAATTAAAGGTTATTCAGAATTAACGTTTGGAGCCAGTCAAGTGGGTCTGATCTGTTATTGTGTTGAGATACAACCTGAGCTGTAGCTGGTGCTCCGACAGTATGTTCAATGTTTTTGTGCTTTTAAAATGTCAATGTTCCCAGGTAGGGATCAGACTGAAATTTGTATATCTGGCTAATCTTGATGTAATAATTCAGTGTATAAGTTGCTATGACCAACATAATGTTCCTAATTCTCACCAGTAACATTATGCAGAAACTACAAAAGAGACAAAGGTATTTTGTTTGTTAAACAAGCAGTTAGGTTTGTACTTCAGCTCCACTTACCTGCCTTTGCTACATATTCCTTGTTATCCTTAGGTTGTGCAGATCCCTTGATCTTGGCCTCGGCTGTTTCAATTGATCCTCCAGGATACAGAACCATTTTAGGGGGAGAAAATTTTGATTCCCTCTATCTTTTCTGTGAAGAAGTGGATCTTGATTTCACTCCTTGATTATCTAGTTTTAACATTATTCCTTTTTTTCTAACCAGAGGATGTTGCTTCTGTCTACCTTTTATTGCACTACATTCTTCTTCATCTTCAATAGTTCACTTGGCTCACTTGAAGGAATGCAAACCAGGTTTCCATTTCATTGCTGGACAGATGTGTTATTAACCACTTGGACAAAGGACTTGAATGCATCCTACCAGTTGGTGGCCACTGGAATTAGTTAACTGCAAGCCTCCGACACAAATGAAGCAATTACTTTTATTATTTAATTTGAAAATTTGGTAGAAATATTTGGACAGGCAAAGTGCTTAAACAGTTGTTAGCGTAATGCCTCACCACACCTTTTAGATACCTCTGTTAACTTCTGATTGTAGGTGATCACTTTATTCGTCTGGAAAATGACACTTCCCACAATGGACAACTCCCTTGTTTCTGTTTCAGACTGTTACCCTACATTATAACCAGCTGTGAGAGAAGATGCGTGCAGCTAAGGGATGCACATTAAATAGTGTATTTAACACAAGCTTGTTTTCGGTTTACCTTGTTTTGAAGATATGTGAAGCTTTTACTTGGGTCGCAACGAACAAAGAATGTTGACTAACCTCACTGGCGGCAGAGTTGTCTTGCGAAATATTTCAGCTAATTTTCGTGGTTAACTGGGAATATAATTGCCAGTGCTTGTTTCTCTTCCAAGTACTGGGTGTTTTGCACGACAAACATCTTGTACAGAAACAGTTGAGTCAAAATACAGAAAGCTATTGGTGATTGTATGTACCTGCCTTTGGTAGCTACTTGTGGTTCCAGGAATAACTGACTAATGCATGCAACAAGTTTCCACCTGCCTGATTTGATGCAGCTAAATTACATACAGAAACATGTCTTGCTGCCAGTTGATTGTGTTAAACCATCCACCTTTTTCCTTGAGTCACTGCAATCATCGATCCTCGCCCAGACTGAATGAGCCAAACAACCCTTCAGACCTGGAATTCAGTTGAGCATGAAGGCTGGGGCACTCAAACTCAAGAAAGGAATTGTTCATGACAAGCATCCCATACTTCTCTGCATCCCAAAGGAGTTCAGTTTGCTACTTTGGAAATGTAGTAACTGTAACAAAGGGCAACAAAAGAAAGCAGGAATTACAGAAGGAACCCCAACCTCGCACTGCCCGCTTCTATCTCCTTCCCAAAATCCACAAACCTGAATGCCCTGGTCGACCCATTGTCTCCGCCTGCTCCTGCCCCACCGAACTGATCTCCAACTATCTCGACTCCATTTTCTCCCCCTTGGTCCAGGAACTCCCTACCTATGTCCGTGACACCACCCACGCCCTCCACCTCCTCCAGAACTTCCAATTCCCCGGTCCCCAACACCTCATCTTTACCATGGACGTCCAGTCCCT